TGAATTCAATAAATTTTACATGAAAATCCTTGAATGGAAAAGGCACTTTTTGAACAAGTTATGCAGACCCACGTGTTCTGTTGTTTTGAAATTTTAAGTTTTTTAAAGAGAAAAAAAAGAATAAAAAAATCCAACTAGAATAAGTTGTTTTAAATAAATAGCTGAAGTTTTTGTCTAAGGACTACACTAATAATACTTAGGAACCGAAAAGTAATAATATAGACAGATATAATCACTATGAATGTATTCAATATCTGAAATACAGATTATTAGATCTGTATTAGATTAGATTTTTATTAAATTCATTATTAATTCATTCATCAAGGAATTTAAGAGAGTAGATATTATTTAGTTGGAGATATCTTAAAATTATGGTCAGACTATTATAATTTTTTGATTAATGAATTGGCGTGTTATATTGTTAATACCTTTATATTAAAGTTCATAAAAACTTCATAAAAAAAAGTTTTATATCTACACTATCTACAAATTACCTATCTATTTAAGCATTTAATGCTGCCCAACTTAATTGCGTTCTCAAACAGAGATATGACGCAAGCAATTTCAGGATTTATAAGTTGACCAGACAGAGTTTTAAAGGACACAATTCAAACATCTAAACTATCAGGGCACATCACAGGCAATTATTAAAATCTGTTTGGATATCACAATTGGGTATAAAAAGGGAGAAATCACTGATCCACCGATATACATCTTTACACAAATTGGCTTCTCTTAAATAGTATAAACTTTAACAATCTCATGAAAATAATGTTTTATATCAGTTTTGTGCATTGTATAGCGTTATTTTTTAGATCTTATTGAATTAGAGGGAACACCTCAGTTTATTCCGTCTCTATACAGTCTTGTTTTACGAAAGCATATGAATAAAATTACATTTTTATCGCAGCTATAGTTAAGTTGCAACTATTTCCGTTACAATCGTCAAAAACTGGAAACAAGAATTCAAAACTCCTCTAAATAAGAATATTCTTTACATTAAATTAATACACTAATTATTGCAATTTAAGCTTCTTTAATAGTCAAAGTAATCTAAACTTAATGAGAATTGTTATTTCATTTAACTAAAAATTGTACTTAACATAATTGTTGAAATATAATTCTCATTTAATTTTAATGTTTTAATGTCTTCTTCCCAAAAGAAACTTATTCCACAAATCAAAGATAAACCTACTCGAAAGTAGTAATAAATATTAATTAAAGTTAAGATACTGTAAATGATCTTTAAATACTTCTATAAATATTAATTTCGACGAAATAAAGTGGTATATGGAAACGCTGATATTTTATTTATTTTCCTTCACTTTAATAGGCCTACGTATTAAATATAATATATTATATATCAGTCGATAAAATTTAAGGTTCTTAAAATAAAAATTTTATTTGTTGAGATATAATAATATTTTGATATATGTGTATTATTATGTGAAGGTATTGCTCTAGAAAAATATTTAGTGTTGATTTAGTCAATTACATTATAACAATTTCAATCCAGAAATATGATTTATTTTTCAGACTATTTAATCAACTTCGGTTAGCAAAAAATTTATAGACTATTACTGTCCTAAGGAATTACTCTCCATTTAATCTATACAAACCAATTACAACATAAGTTCTGACTGTTTATAAAACATTAGTCTGTCAATAGTTCTGGCAAGGCTCACATGTAGCTTTTTGTACTTTGATTTCAAATATTATATACAAACAGTTAAGAAACATATATCTGAAGTTCATAGTTATATTACAACACCAGAAATAGCTGAAAGGTCAATCAAAAAATTAATTTCTTCGAAAGGGTTGCCTTCTAATGTAATTTATATATATAATTTTTTAATGAATTTCATAAATTTTATACATTTTATCTGCGTGATGATTACCATTGATCATTTTGTGGAAAAAGTTTATGTGAATTTTAACCCATGCTTTTTAGGAATATATTGCCATCACTTTGTGGGTTGTCTGTACGATATATTCCATATTCAGAATTAGTTAACTTGGTTAAGTACATTATTTTGACTGTTGTTTCCTTTCGATTGTGTCCTAATGGATGTATCTTAAATGTAAATATAAATGTATGTATAAGTAAATACATGTTCACAACTATGTCAATATAATTCTATTATAAAACCGAAGCATTAATTCATTTTAAATATTCCATTGCTAAAATCTTCCAAAAAAAATTTTTCCTTTCTAAAATTGAAGCTTTTAAATGAAACTTTTCATCCTTTTTACTTGTTGTGGCGCAGTACTCCTCAACTAAATATTGAATATTTGGTATGCAAATCAGACCGAAGTAGGAATAAAAGCGCAAATATTCAAATACTTTTCGTGTGCCATGATTGCACATTTTGTTGCTGCACGCAAAGTGCAATTCCAACTGCAACTGTCGATTTTTGATATATGCAAATGATTGAGTTAAAATTACTCCCCACATGCACGCTAGAGAATTATGTGCCACTCCGTTGGTGGACTGTCGGTGGTCACTTTATGGAGGAAATAAAACTGAAGTACGTGCGCAATGTGCGGGTGCCTACATACCTTGTTGTGGTGGAAATTGCATAGCAATTCCTGCATGAGTTGCAATTTAAGGATAATTTTCAGGCTTTTCAGTTATGCGACTTTATTTCTACAATTTTGATGTGATTGGCATATGTCACAGAAGGAATTGCTACAATGCATTACAATCACATTTTATTCAACCGCTGTGCTATAATTTCACATGGCCTAATTACGAAGTTATTCCTTCTAAAAATTATATGTTTTGATTAGATCTATGCCTAGCAAACGTAATTACATTTTTGCAACCGACCTATATATTGTAGGAGCATTCTAGTCATATAATTTATTAAGTCAGTATTAGGTTCGTAGCAGTAAGGAATTGTTAGAACTAATTATACCACGTATTCTGCATTGCTGTTTGAGGTAAAAAGAATGAAAAGTGCTAATTTCAAGCTTTCAAAATTACATTAAACGAAATAGAAAAATAATTATGAAGTACGAAGTAGTGCTTGTAGTAGGTGAGAGTGCTTCACTTTATAGTAATCTCGGAAAGGCTATATGCTGGATTATAATTAATAATAAAATGAGTGTAAACACAAAATAAACAGGACTAAAATGTCAACAAAGTTGATAACAAGATTGAGATCAACACTAAAATATTAGTATGCATTTAGTGCCATTTTAGTTTTAGCACACAAATGCTGTTTTCCTCAAATGTTTAGTTTTTAAATTGGCAACACTGTTTCAAATCTCAACTATTTTGATAATTAACATATGTCTTATATTTAGTATACTGGGACCTTTCAACTTTCAGTTGAAAGGAGTTTTAATTACCATTAGGAGTTTAAAGGATCATTTATTAACTAATTTCAATGACTTAAGTTATCTTTAAATTCACTTACATATTTAAACAAAATTTATTAAGGTTTTAAATGTTGATAATGAGGGGAAAAGTATTATTAGTGCCAGTTTCTTATAGCTAGCAATTAGCATATAACCAATTTTAGTTGGTTATTTTATATATATTTTAAGTGTCAGCTATAAGAAACTGGCTCTTATATAGATATACAAATTTATCTAAGATAGTGGGAATTATTACGGGACAATGTCCGTTGGGAGTACAATATCAGGCTTAATATCAAGACCACCTTGCACTTGATGAGACATTGCATGGAGGATGACGAAGAGGCATCACCAATACACCTTCTGTTACAGTGTCCTGCTTTCGCAAGACATAGACTCTCCTAGATAGGGTCGCATTTTCTTAATTCATTAGAGAGCTAAATTCTATTTCCCTAGCTCATGTGAATGGTTTTGTGGCCAGTACTAAATGGTTATAGTGACAGATGTCAAATTCTTAAGGGTATCACAATAAACCTCATGGTCTAAGTGCGACTTCGTACGGCACCTAGTAACCCCAACCTGACAAAATTTTATAAGCTTTTACTTTTGAAACAAATATTAAAGTTCACGACTTTAATGAAATAATCACCAATTATCAAAATATAGGAAAAACTATAACAATGAAATTTTCGGAATTTATGATTATTATTATTTTAATGTTTCATATTAAATTAGTTTTGTAGCCTGCAGGACTTCTAAAGTGTAATCCGAGCAATTAAATTAAAATTTGAAATTAGTTCTATTCAAGTCAATATTATAATAAAATTTTATTAGAAATTATTTCCAATTTATCTAAATATATGTTAATACATACATATATATCAACACACATTTGTATATTAATATACAAAAACCATACAAACATTTGCCTGCTTAAGCTGCAGTAATTAGAGATATTAGAAAAGTCTCAAGTTATTGTCAGTTGATAATGAATATGTCAGAATTGACCTTTGCTATCTGTTTATTTATATAAATAGATATATAAATATATAAACTACATATATATAAATATAAAACCAAATGGTGTACGTATGCATTTTGTGTGATTGTGTGTTGGATGTTTGCATCTGACAGTAGCAATCAAAGCAATTAAAACTGCAGGGCACGCCTCCTGCCTCCTTGAGTGAGTGAGTCCTTTTTGGTAATTATAATGCAGCTTGAGTAAACTAATTTTAATGCATGGAACATAAAATAAAATTTGCATATAATTTTTAGAATATTATTTAACGAATTTAATAAAAAATGTTAACAACGCAAAACCCCATTGCATTATTTTTGGTATGCACTATAAATGCGATTTTCCTAGTACAAATTTTCTCTGCTCTAATAAATTCATATATACGATACGTCCAACTATTTTTTTTCTTCTGTGATGTGATGACTGATGTGAATGAGCGTATTTTTCGTATGCGCATTCCGGGTGGCATTCCAAAAGCGGGGAAAGCGACTTTTTATATTTTTAAAAATGTATTAATTTTTCTACTTTAAATATCAAAAATGAATTCCTTTGCTTAAACTGATTTCGATTTTAAAGTTTTTGCATTTAAATGAAAAATTTTTTATTTACTTAAAAAAACTTACCCAAAGAGATCCGCTTCACTTCCTGGAAAACTAATTCGTGGCGAAAGCGGCGACCTACCGCTGCGTTTGAGCATATCGTGAAGTCCGGGCGGAGCATGTATGGGACTTAAAATTGTTATTTTGCGATTTGGTGGCGCCAATAAGCCACCGGATAGCGTTAATTGCGTGCGTATACCAGAGGAGGCGGATGATGTTTTCATTTCGATGGTCTCGGCAGATTTTGAAATTAAAATCGACGATGACTGATGCAAGCCCAATTTGGAACTTGAAATCGGTGGCAGACCGTCACTGCTATCGCCTTCAGCCGTTTCTTCAATTTGTGTTGAAGCGCTGCGTATGCATTTGTCAGCACGCCCACTGCCACTCAATGAGTTGCCAACAGCGGCCGCGGCCTCTGAATGAGCTGAAGTGGAGCGCACAAATTGGCGTACATGCTTTTGATGGGCCGTAAGAAAACCGCTAGCCTCGGGCTGTTGTAAAAAACTTTGAAACTTCGATTTCGTTGACGAAGATGAAGTGGTCGACGAAGTTTTCTGCATGAAACTGCGCTGTTCACTTGTCAGTATGGAGGTGCTCGATTGTGCTTTTAATTGCTGTGCCAGTTGTGATGTATTGAGTGTTGCATTGCCGCTTGATAGGCCACTCATAAGCAAATGATCACCGACAATTGAGGAGGATTGCAAACTTTGACTGCGTGTGCTGGTTGAAATTGTTTTTTGTGAGTGTATTATTTGTTGTGTTTGTTGTTGTTGTTGCTGTGTACTGACAGTCGTTGTGGTCGAATTATTGCCATTGTCAACGCTACCCGAATCTGTGGTAACAATGATGCCACCTGTGCTGCTCGATGCCATTGAAAAGGAACGACTGGCCATTTGTTTGGTCATTTGACTGATGAGCTTTTGATGTTGACTGGCGGCATCGTATGTACCACCATCTGCACCACTTTCGTCTAAGTCATGTATGGAACGAACTTCTTCCGCATCAACTTCGCTGGGTGTGGTTACTATATACTGAGGTGGGGATGCATTACTTTCACGTGACATTTTGTTGATTTACTCGGCAATTGAATTGTTATGAAATTTATGTTACGTTGAATTATTGCTTTTTTTTTGTTTTTCGTCTTCTCTACTATATAAATTAGTTTGGATTTCGTTTTCTATATCTGTTACTGCTAAAAAGCCAGAGTATAATTTGCGTATATATGCATTTATTGGTTTTATAAATTTTTACAGGTATTTTTAAAATTTAACTTGAGAAGTTTTTAATTTTTTAGATTTTTATATTAAAAAATTTTTTATTATTAATTATTTTGTTTCTGTAGATATGCGATATGCTTTCTTTAAATTATATTCGTCGTAACCTAGAAAAAATATATAATATATAATAATTATGTTCTTCTTTTGTTTGTTGTTAACCTTGCCTCTTGTCAATCTGGTTTTAGTTTTTATAAAAAATTTTACAAATATGTCGCATTTAATATTTTAAAATTAATTTAATTATTTTATATACAAAACTGTTCAAAAAAATTCAGAATTAATAAAATTGAAACAAATGATATGTAAAATTCATGAAGTCAACAACAGATTCCATGTTTATTCTCAATGGTTCCATTACACTTGCCTAAGTCTTTTGTTTTTAGATACTTTAAGTAAACAATTAATTACAATTGATACCCTCTAGAATTTCTACAGAGGAATCTCCAATTTAAAGAAGAGACCATAAGTGAAACATAAGTGACCCACAGTGTCCACATAATTTCCAATGCAAAAGAGATTATGAAATAAAGAGGGCGATAAGCAATAAGTAAGTGATATTACCAGGATTTTGAAAAGGAGCCGAATCATGAATTGAAAACTAAAAAAAGTATATTCGAAACGAAAGCGAAAACTGAAATCGAATCGAAAAATATATATCAATTGATATCCTTACAGTTTGGTGCCTGTTTATTCACCTGTATTTTTCATCAATTGTTGAGACTTTAATAAATGCAACTTAGTAACTATTTTTTTATACATAAACTGTGCTCTTAGAGAAAAACGATTAGAAGGATTTTAAACATGGAATAAAAACTAGAAGTTTTTGAATAGAAACGAAAAGACAACAACAAACATTTTAGTTAATTTTAGTTAATGAAATTTGTCTGACTATACAAAGCTCTTTCAAGTATTATCAAGTACTCATCATCAGTGGTCTTAGGGGATACTAAGTACTTGGCATTTCTCGAAACAGCGCTGTATGGTCAACCAATTTTCAATGAATTAATTTTTGTTGTTGTCTTTTCTTTTTTAGTCGAACTCTTCTCACTTTTAAATAGTTTCTATTAGTCTTAAAAAGCTTGAGTTTTGACAAGAAAAACTTAACAAGTGGAGTAAAACTTTTCTTAATTAAAATAAATAAAAAGTGTGTGCTCGGAACTTAATCGAAAATGTAAAAGCACTGTTAATGAAAAGGTTAATGGTTATGCTCTTATTTTTCTATACATTTCTATTGATTAAAAAAAATCATGAAAACGATATTTTTCCGGAAAAGAACAATATATTTTTTTTAATTGAACCGGAAGAGCTTATATCCGGTTTGTAACCTTGGATATTAACTATGAGAAGTGAATTAAGTTAATTATGTGAGTTTCATGTACCTAAAAAATATCAATGGCAGGGATCGGACACTTCCTAATAATATACTTGATATTAAAACCGAGAATTAAGTGAAAGGAAAAATTTTGTAGATAAGTATTTGTTAGATTACATTGTTCAATAATAAATTATCTTAATTTTCATTGAGGTTAGGTTAATTTAAGTTTGCTGAACCTCACATCTACTATTCGTTTTTCTTCTAGATATCTCGATTCTTGGCATTAATGGGCTTAAGTTCAAAAATTAAAGTTTTAAAATTTATGGAGCACCATTGCCACACATAATTTAATATAATTTTGATTTTAAATAATTGCAATCAATGAGCAAATTTAAATACTGCAATGCAAACAAAAAATTGCCTTCCTTTGCAATTTGTATTGCGATTCATAAATTTTCTATGTAAAAAATGTTGAGCATTTCTTAGTCTTAACCGCTTTTAATTTTCTTTGTAATATTATTTGCATAAGTTTTCAATTTTCCACTTCATCGGCTCCATAACAAATAATATGAAAAATTTATTCAGTGTGGAGCAAAGAAGAAATCCTCAATAAAAACAGAAAATCCACTTAACTGCGTCAAATTGCTAAGCAGCAGCAGCAGCAGCAAATGCAGCTTCTTAAGGTCCTTCAGCTCCTTGAACTGTTGCTGCCTGAAAATGCGCCAAAATGTGTTAATATTCAGTCTAAGTAGAAGTGAAATATTAAACACCAGCCAGCGCAGCAGCGGAGTGTTCTGGTGGGAGAATACCAGGAAGACAGACTAATGATGTCATAAGCAAGAGCTTATCTTATAATAAATTGTGCAGCTCTGTTGTTGCTTGCAGCTCGCATCTGGTATCTTGTATCTTTAGATACTTTGTTGCATACTCGGGCAAATAAATTCCTTTATGGTTTGCGGTGGTAAAAAAAAAAAATTGAAGTAAAAACATTGTGAAGTTGGAAAAAATAATGTAATAAATTCATTTTAATGGCATAAATGACAAGTTTGCTTCGCCTTCATATTTACAATTAAGTTAAAGGTTAAATTTTAATACAAAGCATGTCAAAGCATAAACTATCTTTCATGTAAATTCATTGTAGTCTGACAAAATATTTTCTACAATATTTTGTTTGTAAAATTCATTTTTAATTTGAGAAAATTTCATGCATGTGAACTGAAATATTTCTATATAAAAACTGACTTAGTTACTGGTTTGGTTTGGTTTGGTTTGGGTGCCTTAATGACTTCTCACTTCCAACTACTAAATTTTGAGCACTTTCATTCTTGTGCATAAATCTACTATAAATGCACATATTTCATACCAAAAAGTCCTTTAGACGACAGGAGAAAATTGCAAGATATTCGTATGCTCTTATCAGTTACTCTGCCCTGTGCCGCTTGTTTCTGTTGCCATTTTATTGCAACTCTGGCTTATGTTGTGCCACAGCATCCCGCATAATGGGATGCTTATTTATGCAAGTGAGTTCTAGTGCTTCTTCAGTACTTTAGTTATTTTAGGTGCTAGCACAGGTATGTTATATGTTGAAATGTTATGTGTGTTTTTAAGCTGCGTAACTGATGTACTTCAATTGCTTAAATTTTAAAGCACAATAAAGTTCGATCAACTTGCGAATAAATATATTGTTGTTAAAATAAAAATAAAAAATCATGAAATGAATAATTTTATTATAAAAATGTTGACGCTGATTCAGCTAAGTTGAGCAACAGCGATGCATAAATAATGCTGTAAGCAAATTTATGTTAAAAAAAAAATAGTTATTTATCAGTCCTTGTATATTTAATATTCAGTGATTTTTTTTTTGATATAAATATTTGTCTTTAAATAC